GGCCCAGGGGACGGCCAAGATTAACCTGGTGCAAACATATGGAAGGAATCTGTTCCAGACTGCATTTGTTATTTGCCGAAGCTCAGACTCTGGCACAGGATCGGGAACGTTGGAAGCACTGTCTGATGCGTCTGCCTCTGCGACCCGAAAGGAGAAGCTGCGATGGAAGATGAAGATGATGAAGACTTAATAAGTGTTTCATTGTTGTAACTGATGCCGGATGTTCGTTAACTCGTACTTTTGATCTACGGTAATTTCCCACACAATTTAACGCAGCTTTCAGTGGTGTACGAAAAACAAAACCGATTCTGTTGCCATTTCTAACACTGTTCGTTGTTTCATTCGAAAAAACTTATTTCACGAAAGAAAGCTACAGTATATCGAATACTAACAAACGTAATTCATAAAAACTAACCGAGTGCAGCACCTGAGAAACAACGTGGTTTTATAGGACAGCGAGCGAAGACTGTCTACAGTTTAACATTGGCATGACTGAAGGCTAAACGAATTCCTGCGGTCAGCAACGTCGAACAGCAGCCTTAATAAGAAGCAGATAGTAACAGTGAACAGTCATAACCATTATGTGAAAAAACTACAGCGCTCAGTTACAAATAAACATAAGCTACGTTCAATTCGAAACAGTTCTGGCCATGCGAAAAGTTTAAAAGTAACGCAAATACCATTCATCGCATGGCACAGTAGCAGGGAAATCAGTCATGACGGCGTTTCTGTAAGCTGGTTTCCGACCTTACAATCCGTCGAATCTGTTTCGAAAATGACGAGCACTTGATTATATGCAAACATGAAGATAAATATCCAAAACCAAAGTCGATACATCGCATTTCTTTACTTCATGAAGGTAGATTCTGCTCAAAGAGATAGTTGATTTTGCTACAGCAGAAAGGCAAAGTCCATGGCGAAATGGATTAAACTGATTTTGTGATCAGTCCGGAACGAAAATCGCCGGTTTTCGTATCATCGTCGCTTCCGTTTCAGCTGCGCATGAGCCACAGCCATCAGCCGCAACTTAAACATGTAGTAGACGATGTAGATGTAGGCGTAGACTCGGTGATAATGTGCCAAAGAAAACACATTACCGTCTGGAAGTGAACGTGAATCGGCTTCGGTGCGCACCGGCTTGGACGGATTACCCAGTCTGGTCGACGGAATATAAATGTTAAGGCAACCACTTGCGCGTACGTTCAAACGACACCCAACCGTATTCCCTGTTTAAAAGGCGCCCTGTGTAAACCGATGGAATTTAAAAACAATTATATCGTTGTGCATGTTCTTAGAAACGGCGTTTCTTCTTCACTGCCCGCTGGACGTAAAGAAACAGGTTTTTCGAAGGCACCGAAATTGCATAAAAAGAAAATAACACTCCTTTCCACCTGGTCAGCCATTTAAAGTTAGGTGATCCGCACGGCGAATGTAAAGCAATGATACGCATTCGTACT